ACTCTCTCTCTGTCTGTGTTTCTGTGTGCGTCTGCCTCTTATGTGGTGACGTGTCTATACTGACTTCCTGTAATACAGAAAAAAAATAGTCTATGTCAGTATTTCTCAACACGTGTAATATTAGTCCCATGGACTGCTATATGCAAATCACTGCTGCTGATCTTTATATGCATTCACAAAATTATCAATTCTCCTGTTCAACCCAAGAACAGTTTATCATGTTATTAATTAGAATATTGTTGGGCAATAAGTAAGATAGATAGATAGATAGATAGATAGATATGAGTCAAATCCAATACGCAACGCAAACTGATCCCGCTCTACTACAGTGAATATCATGCTTATGCTAATTTTGTGTAGATCGCAAAATTTAGGGTCCAGATTGTTCATTATACATCAAGTAGTAACCCAACCAGGGTTATTATAGTTAAATACAACTAAAATTAAAACCATTAAAAAACATTTTAATTATTTGAAATAAAATAAACGTTAACTGAAATCAAATATAAAATATTTTTATTTCAGCTACTTTCCAAAGCAACATTTCTTGTTTTAATTTAATTTAATGTACTACAATAACTAAAACTGAAATAAAAATTAATAAAAACTATAGACATATCTATAAAAAAAAATACTAAAAATAACAAAAACACAACAAAATTACTAAAACTTGAACTAAAATTAAAATAAAAACTGTTTCAAAACAAAGTTATATATATATATATATATATATAGACACACATGCACTGTTATTTTAGCATAACTGAGAGAGAGTACATATACAGTGGGTACGGAAAGTATTCAGACCCCCTTAAATTTTTCACTCTTTGTTATATTGTTATTTTTGAAACAAATACATTTTCAGTTTTAATTCAAATTTTAGTTAAAGTTTTAGTAATTTTGTTGTGTTTTTGTCATTTTTAGTATTGTTTTTATAGATATGTCTATATAGTTTTTTATAAATTTTTATTTCAGTTTTAGTTATTGTAGTACATTTAAATTAAATTAAGAAATATTGCTTTGGAAAGTAGCTGAAATAAAAATATTTTATATTTGATTTCAGTTAACGTTTATTTTATTTGTTTATTTTATAATGACATTTTTTTAATGGTTTTAATTTTAGTTTTAGTTGTATTTAACTATAATAACCCTGGTTGGGTTACTACTTGATGTATAATGAACAATCTGGATCCTAAATTTTGCGATCTACACAAATTTGCACAAGCATGATATTCACTGTAGTAGAGCAGGATCAGTTTGTGTTGCGTATTGGATTTAACTCTAATTCGCCATGTGTTTTTCAACCTGATCTCATGAGAAAATGCAACTGTTTTATGAGGTATGAATTCGTGCAATGTGATTTGTACAAAAAAGTAAGCATGAAGCTCCACCCCTAAACCTAACTGTTAGTGCGGCTTAAGAAATTTGTATGAAAACATACGAATGGGATTAAATGAATTTATACAAATTAGCCACAAATTCAGCAAAACAAAATTGTTAGGAATTGCCATAAGATTGTGTTGTTGTTTTTTATCTTCAATAAACTTTATTGCAATAATAAAGACGATTAACATGATAGCAGCATCACATTCTTGATTTGAAGAACTAAAAGCAGAAATAATTCAAGCTGTATGTGTGTGTATTTGTTGTTTGTTTGCTGATCTCAGGGTGGAGGAGGTGGACAGCTTGTTAGCGCCTTTTGACTACACCACTCAACCATCATGGCAAAGTCCCAAATATTTAGGTAGGCTGGCTTCAATACTCTGTGTTGTGTAAAGCTGCATTCACCTAAATACTGGCTCAAGATTTTCACTTATAGTGATACAAACTTTGGATTATGTATTCTTATCGCAACATTGCTATGGTCTGCAGTTATGGGCTGATTATAGGCTGATGCTGATTGTTGATATCAAGAGAGCGTGATATATATATATATATATATATGTATGTATGTATATGTGTGTGTGTGTGTGTGTGTGTGTGTGTATATGTATATATGTGTGTACTGTGTATATATATATGTGTATATATATGTGTGTATATGTGACGCTGGAGCACAAAAGCAGTCTTAAGTCGCTAAAATGATTGATTTTTCTTCTATGCCAAAAATCATTAGGATATTAAGTAAAGATCATGTTCCATGAAGATATTTTGTAAATGTCCTACCGTAAATATATCAAAACTTAATTTCTGATTAGTAATATGCATTGCTAAGAACATATATATATATATATATATATATATTTATTTATATAGTGTATATATATGGTAAAGCACACATACTACACATTAAATTAACAGTTGTTGAAATTGGACAGAAAATGGCTGTTGGTGAAAGAGGGTAACACTTCAGCAATGCTTGATGATCTCAGATTACTGACAACATACTGACAAAGTTTTGGCTCTATCATTACTGTGCAGTGCAAGTGATTAGAGAAGTTTTGATGCTACTAATCACATGTTTGTTGTGAAGTGAGTGTGATCTCCACAGAGGTGACGTATGTTCTGGGCGGTCTGATATTCGCGTGGATCGTGGAGGAGTGGGTGTGGGACTACGCCATCACTGTCACACTGCTGCACGTCGCTCTGACCGTAGCAGGTGAGGACATTTACATACAAGGGGAAGACTTGACATTAAACACATCTGGTCAAATCAGTTTGATCAATTATCCATCTCTCATCCCAGAGTTTGTGAAAGACAAGCAAAAATATTTACCCTAGTGAAAAAAAAAATGCTATTTGAAATGCATTTATTTTGTGCTAAGTGTACTAAAGGTGCATTTACATATTTATGTGCTTATTAAAAATACCCTGCGGTTGTACTTTTGGTATACTAAACTCGTATACTTAAAGTCTGCTAAATTGGAACAACTAATTTTGTACTTGATGCACTTTAATTGTGTGGAAATAGCACTAAAGATATACTGAAGTTTATTTGATTTTGCTAAAGTGTAACTAGTGCAAGTACACTTTAAATGTCTTGCATTTAATGACTGATATTATACAGAGAGCATACAGTCCTCATCAATAGTGACGTTAAAACACATTTTAGGCGTAATGTTAAGAAATGTGCATTGTGCAATAAAGAAATACTCCAATTATAATTTTATATCAGTAATTCTTAAGTGATATGTCAATAAATGTTAATGGATTTGAAGTATACTTAATATGTTAAAAAATAAATTGTGGCATATGTTGTTTTTTTTACTAGGGTACAGAAATGTCCTAGCAATGGACGACTGTGGGCCAATAAAACGTACTTATAATACAGTTGCATATAATGATGCGAGTTATGAGCTGTAAAGTGTTTAGCCTCTTCTGTATGGATGGACTTCTGGCCTTCATGCTCCTTTCTGGTGTCCTTGTGGTGTGTATCATCCAAGTTACCATGTTTACTGGCTTTACTTGGTCACGATAGTCACAGCTGTCATAGCCGACACAGTCAGCTGATTGAAGACTCAGGTGTGTTGAACTCCAAGAAATAGTTGAATTCCCAAAGAAGAAAAAGTCACCATTTTCTCTTTTGGTTCCTTTGACATTAAAAATGTTTCTCTTTGGATTAAGAGTGAACAATCCCTGAACATATGAGATCAGTATGATAGATAAACGTGATGTGTGTCTGTCAGCGCAGTACTGTCATAAGTACATCAGAGGTTTGAGAGCCACAGACTCTATTGAATAACATCCATTAGTGGAAAACATCTTCACCCACACAACACTGCTGACTGCAAAACATCAGCCGGTTTGTTTCACTTCCGGCTCCTTTTGTGAACTGAGTTTACCCATACTGTGGTGTTTGAATGAATTAGATTAGTGAATGCACAGAATTATGCAAGTTGCAGTTCTGGAAAATGACATAATGCTTAGTAAGTACGTAAGTTTAACGAGAGGGTTGCTCACCAACAAGGCTGATATAATGAATCGTGCCACTGACCCGCTCTTAAATTCTGTAAAAAGCTTGAAGTATTAGCTTCATGTTGTTGTGAGTCTGCAGTCAGGCGACACTTCTCCAAAGCACACTTACTGAGAGCAGAAAATGTGAGGCGCTAAAGAACAGTGCGACGCTATATCGGCTGTCTGAATAACAATTCAAATACAGTACTGTAAATGGAAAACAAGGTGGACTTGATTCAATGGATTGCTGAGCTGTGATTGTCATGACAGGCAGAAATGTCAAAAAAAATTAAAATACATTGGCTTCTACAGACATTTATTTGTCTGTTCAATGCTTTCAGTTGCATGGCATAATAATGTAGGCAAATGTCTTTGAATGATCGATAGATGATTGATAGATGTGATTCATTGGGTCATTTATTATATCTACTTAATTTAATCTATTGACAGTCCTAGATATTGTCATTGCATGTACTTACAGTATTTGCATTGATGATATGCATGTGTTTGTGATGAATGTTTTGTAAAATTGTATATTTGAAAGTACACGAGGGCTGCTTTTGAACCCGTTTTCACTGTGACTCTGGTTTCAGTTATGGCTGATTTTCCCTCGACAGAGCACTGGTGGATTGCTCTCGGTAAGTTCTCTCTTTTGGATAAGCTTTCAGTTTTGGCAGCGAAACAGACGTCATTTTAGCCTCTTTCATATAGTTTAGCATCACAGAATATACAATCAAGAAAATAACTAATTCCCAACAATAGAGAATATGAAGCTGATGTCAAGCAGGATAGCAGCTCTTTTAATAATGTCACTGATTAAACTATCACTAAATAAATTATATAGGTCTGGGGTGTCCAAACCCGTTCCTGGAAGGCCTCTGTCCTGCAGAGATTTGCTCCAACCCCAGTTAAACACAAAACACAAAAAATTCCAAGATATTCGTAAAAATGTTCCTAAGTGCAATTCTTGAAAAATTCTCAAGAAGTTCTCATATATGTTCTAAAGAACAACTTGTAGAAAATGGCATCTTTATCTGATTAAATAATGAAAAACGCTTCAAGGCTTATCTTTTTGCGCTGCCTGCAGATTACCGTAATAATCATAATAAGCGCACACACTGTTTTCGTTTTCGTCTCAGCTGCTTGTTTTTAATGCGCCATGGTTACTTTTAAAGAGCTCGTCTCAGGATGCACTGATCTAGGCAATCAAGATTGGTACATTCATAAGCGCTGAATACTGCCAAAGATTATGTCGTATTTATAGGCTAAAACTAAAAAGAGTCCCCCTATCGGACTGATTTTCGAATTCAGCATGAAGTAGCGTCACACAAAATCATGACAGATCACTGTTTACATTGTCAGTCACTGGTTTGTGTCACTTCAGAAAACTTGTGCACAGTCTAATGTTACATTGCAATACTTAATTACGACAATTAATTTGAAATAACCCAATAGATTTCCACTAAATCTTCTTTACCTTTGACAAGACAAGTCTGAGGCTATCCTAACTTTAAGAAGTTATTTATGATGATTTTTAAGAAGATTCTATTCAAGAATTTGAATTCAAGTGTGTTGGAGCTAAACTCTGCAGGATACTGGCCCTCCAGGAGCAGGATTGGACACACCTGTTAAAGGGTTAGTTCACCCAAAAATGAAAATTAGGCTGCGTTTTACTCACCCCCTAGGCATCCTAGGTGTATATGACTTTCTTCTTTCAGAGGAATCCAGTCGGAGTTATATTAAAAATTGTCTTTGATCTTTCAAGCTGTTTCATGGCACTCAGCGGGTGTTGCATTGCTTCAGTTTAAAAGAACTTTAAGATTATTACGTTTTGAATATGGATATTTTTCTTACAAAAATGCATCGATTCGCTACAGGAGGCCTTTGTTAGATCAAAGACAATTTTTAATATAACTCCGACTGGATTCGTCTGAAAGAAGAAAGTCATATACACCTAGGATGCCCCGGGGGTGAGTAAAACGTAGCCTAATTTTCATTTTTGGGTGAACTAACCCTTTAAAGGTCAAAGTTCAAAGGACACGCGACCTTTGTATATAAGCCCTGTTGACAACCAGGTAGCATATCCTGGTTAGGTATGTTCTGAAGCATGGCTGCTGGTCCTATGCAACTAGCTCCTGCCTCAGGACCAGCTTAAACCAGCTCACCAGATAAGATTTTTTTAAATCAATGCAATAAAGTGAAATCAGGGCACTCATCTGATGTTGAACATATGCTCAGTGCATCACAATCTGTAATGAAATGCTGACGGTACGTGTGTCTCGTCTCCTGCAGGCTCTGGGTTGTTGATGATGATTTTTGGCGGGCAGCTCCTGGCTTACAGACTCTTCAGAAGTAATTCTGTGCATCCTGCAGACCTTCAGAATTTCTGACACGCTGTGGAACACGTACAGGGATGAATTTTCTCAGCTTTATATTTCTTTTTTACATCATAGGTAGTTTGAAATGGTTTTGTTATTCCTAAACAATATTTTGTTGTGAAACTCTCTGCTCATGCTGATAAAATAATTCCAGTAAATCATGTTATTTTGCTGACCTTTTGTGACATCCTATGGTGAAATCTCACAATAGTCCAGTGGATTTAGACTCAGATGCAAATATGATTGTCTGCGATTACATGCAAATTTACATTTGCTTCACTCTCTGTACAGCAATGTCTTATTTGTCAAATTATTCGGATTAGAAGCTTTTATTCTCAGGTGTTTAAGTCAGGTGCACTCTGTTATGATTTTGGCCATATGAGACAAATTTTGTGAATCTTAAAAGATCCTCCTATCATAGGCCAAAATCTGTAGTGTTTGCTTGCTAGTTTGACATGTTTGCCGACAGCTGATTAATGACCATTGCAATTGCATTTTACCTTTTGTGGCGCAGTCCTGTAGTGTAGCTTCATTTATGACGACTGTCACATCAAGCAGAGTCTTGACTGTCGTACGGTCTGACATTACTGACAGCTGAGATCCCACAGTGTGACACGGCTAATAGCTGGGATCACGTTCGTACAGTCTTGGGTAGTAACATGTAAGATTGCATGTAATCTGGGTTACGTAATCAGATTCCAAAAATTAAGCTCTTGCAATTAGATTATATTACATTCTAAAATGCTCATAAATCAGATTACAGTTACTGGTTTATGGATTACGTGATTACATATTATTCACACAATGGCAGTAAGTTTTTCATAATTTATTGATTCTCTTTAAAAATGGTCTTTTATACCATTTAGCATTGAATATATTCAAAGTATAGAATGGGCATGTAAATAACCTTGTGATCCATGCAGTGAAAAACACTATGTATGAAACAAATAATTATGAATTGCATTATTGATTATGAATGGTAAGTTTAAAAGACGTTAGGTAAAAGGTAACCTAAAAAACTAATCTAAAAAGTAGGCTACCTAAAATGAGCAACCTAAATTGTTACTACAGTTTTTTAATCAGTAATTGATTACAATCTGTAAGTAATCTACCCAGCTCTGCTGACTAGCAACAATCATAAAGCACTAATACAAACCTTTATTTTTTAAAATATGTTGTTCCATAAAACCGGAAAACAGGATGTGACATCATTTTGACCCTTTCTACAGCATGACAGTTAAAAATCTAAATATTTTCTCAATAATTATTATTATATTATTTTGCCAAATCATAGTGTTGACTGTGTTCCTCAGTTTCAACCATCAACCCCATTACCAAATGAAGAAAAATGATCAAACTAATAATTTGCCATGATTTATGGCAAATATAAGTTTATCAATAACTACAAACAAGCATTTGCAGTGATAGCTTCATTCATTCAAAGATTAGCTGCAAGCATTATGAGATGTTTTGATATTTTATTGGACCTGTAGCCGTTATCTTTAGGTAAATCTTTTAGAGTAAATCTCAGAAACAGTGCCTGAGACATATTTCATTTCAAAATTAATTTCACGAGACAAGAATATGACAGAATGATGATACATTATAACTGATGCATTTACATCTCATGGCAGTATTCAAACTGATTTGAATTTAAAAAGAGACTCACTACTGAGGATATAATTAATAGGCCCTATATCAAAGAGAAGCAAACTGTCATGAAAATACTGTCACAGTGCAAAACATCGACGGGCAATGAAACCGTATCGTTTCTCTCTTGATTTTGTGCTGAAATGTGACCTGGGCGTGTTTTAGAAGAGGAACTATAGATGCAGTGCAGTTATAGTTTGTTCTAATCCTGAACAGCTGCTGTCCTCTAATCGGTTTGGATTAAGTGCATCAAGTATTATTACCAATTCCTCAGGAACACGCCGCCGTCTCACGCTAGATCGGTTGAAAGCGTGTCCATTTTCTGGTTGATTCATGTGTGCATGTATAAACACATGAGCAGCTCTTTCAGATACAGGGCTTCTGATATGCTTAATACATTTAAGCAGTCATAAAATAAAATGTTCAGCACAAACATGACAATAAGTGCATAAGCACAGCAGTCCTGCGTCAGGTTTTTCCGGAGGCGTCCTGTCTCTCGGGGTTCTCTCCTGGTGTCAAAATTTCATGAATGATTTAATGAGATGATGCACAGGAGGAGAGGAGCGTGTTGTGCAGTGAGGGATGCACTGCTGGATGCAGGGCTCAAACGCGCCTCTGACCCGGGCCGAGGTCATGGTGACCAAACTGGTGTGTTACCTGCAGCTCTGGTAAGTGTTTGGGCTCTGCTCTTCTCCATGAGGCCGCTGAGATCGTTGAGATAATGAGATGTCATGGTCCTGTTCGTACAGTGGACCAAAAGAGACACTTTGTATTTGAGTCACGCTTAAAAACCTTACTGTATTAGACGAAGTGTGTCAAATGCTGTGGGATGTTTTCTTTTGGCTAGCTGGCGATTCACCGTGTTCACACAGGTGTAGAGAATCACATTAACTAGCAACATCATCCAGTAACTAACCACAATACTGACTGTCTTCATCTTAAACACTACATCTGTCGTTTGTAGCAAACTTGTGAAGGGCGTCTGTGCATCTTTCTTTCATATCGATGACACTTGTTTTGAAATTTTGTTAGATGCTGCAAGGACATCCAGACCAATTTAAATATGACTCAAGTGTCCAGATACTTAAGTTGTCTAAATGTTACTGAATCCTTCTTTTTCTTCACAGTCGTGCAGTTTTAACTTCTTCTCTCCCTGAAACCGCAACTACAACTCGAAGCTTAATTTATTTGATGATGCTAATGGAAATGCGATGTGTGATAATTACAAGATGGTATTTTTTGTAGATAAAATGTGAAAGATGCAACACTTTAGTTTAGGGACCAGTTCTCACTAAGTTGCTTATAGCATGCATATTACTAGCATATTGGCTGCTTATTAGTACTTAGAAAGCACATATTAATGCCTTATTCTGCATGAGCATATTTTAGATATTAATTATTAATAAGCAGCAAATTAAGAGTTCACTGAGGGGGAAATAAAATCCTAGTTAATAGTGAATATGTGTTCCCAAATGTAAAGTGTTACCGGCACTTCTTATAAAAAATCAAGAACGGTCTGAAAAACAGCAGCCAGTAAACGCTCACTGAAAGCACAAGAACGTAGCATGTGTTGAGCGGCTCGGACAGAAGCAGGCAGTGACACCTCTGTTATGAACAGATAACATTTCAGTCTATTCTTCAGATGGCCTGTATCCATTTCACCCTGAGAAACGAGAAGCGCTGTGTGGATGAGCAGAGCAGAAAGAGATTTCTTTGCATGCAAGTTATTAAATATTGCATGTAAGTTTGAGCAGCACTGTCCTGTTTTTCATTTTCATCCGCCTACCTTGTGAATTTAAATGGAGACTTGTATGAGATGTGTTGTATCTGGTAGATGACCCTTCACTCTTCTGTGATGTTGTGTAACTGGTTGTCAGTGTCTGTGTCAGGGAAACACTGGTCCTGCGGTGAAACAGCAGTTTACACAAGCAGGGTTGTTTTTCACTAACAATGCAATCATTATTAAATCATCTGATTGACATTTCATCCTTTAAAAATATATATTTTAAACTAACTTAGTGTAGTTTCCAGAAATGTGTTATCTAGCTGTGTGGCAAACTGATCATGCAACCTTGTCACAACATAATATTGTTCCCTCTATTAAAAGAAATAGAGTGTTCCATAAAATTGTGACAGACAGGAAGTGAAATCATTTGGAGCATTTCACCAAATCATCTTATTACATTTTCACTATTTTTCACTAATCAGTAGTGTTGACTGCATTCATTAAAGGGACAGTTCACCCAAAAATGATCCTCTTGATCCAAACCTGTGTGAGTTACTTTCTTCTGCTGAACACAAAAGGAGATATTTTGAAGAATGCAGAACAAATACTATGGAAGTCAATGGCTACCGTCAATTGTTTTGGTTACCAACATTCTTCAAAACATCTTCCTTTGTATTCAGCAGAAAAAAGAAACTCATACAGGTTTGCAACAAGTGGATGGTGCATAAATAATTTCATTTTTGGGAGAACCCTTTAACCCTCCTTAGAGACATCTTTAGGGCCATTTTTATCTTTTTCACTTTATTTCCGTCATTTTATTGTCTTCCTCAAGAGGGCGCTTACCGGTCTTCAAGCTGAATCTCCCCGATAGGGCAGCATTATATCTCAGACTCAGGATATTTTCTAAAATTACCGAGACAGTGGACTCGAGACTGTAAGGATGTTTCAAAAGTGGGACAGCATGTTTTGACTAATGTGGAACAGTCAAATATACTGTTATTCAATTGATAAAATGTGCATTAAGAAAGTTAAATGCCATGCATGTATTTTTTGTTAAATATTTACAGTGGGTGTAGAAAAGAATCAGCCCCCTTTAAAATAATCGCATTTTATTGCTTTGCAGCCTGAAATGAAGACAGACACAGTTTTTGTTTTATCCAGCTGCTTATTTCTGTTATGAAGTGTTATGAAGTCATTACAATTTGCTTAACACATGCTTTCGAAAATACATGCTCCATATTCTTACCATGTGCAGAGTATAGAAGTTTAATAACAGTTTTAAAGACATCCCAAAGTTTAAATCTTTTTAAAGATCATTTATAAAATTATTTTGCTATCTTTATGAAGTCCAGTTTTACATTTTTGACTTCATTAAATGGTTGTTATTATTATTGTTGCTGCCAGAAATCTGAAATTTTTGTAATAAATTATTTTAAGTAGTATATGATTTCTGTGTTATATTTAACATTCCACATGTGAACATAGGCTACATGTTTTCTAGACAAACTGATGAAGACAGCAAACACTCTGTAGGACTACTAAATGAATTAACCAGAAAAGGTTATAAACATGTAACCAGGAGTGTTAAATATGAAGTTTGCTTTGTAAAAATTAAACTATTTCTAACCCAAAACATAGTGTCCCAGATTTGAGCACGAGCTGTCCCACATTAGCAAATCCACACCTTTTGGCTCAAGGAGCACTAATATATGTGGCATTTCCACTTTAAAAACAATTGAAAAGTTTCTTCTGATTTAATAAGGCAACATCTTAGAGATGTCATAATGATATAATATTTTTATTAATTGTTTTGGCTTCATATGGAAATATGATACACAAGTCAAAATTACCCGAATGCACCCTATATATTAAAGGGTTATTACTTGAAAATAATGAAATCAAACAAATCAGGATTAGAGTTATTTGCACATGTATTTATGTATTTAAACATGTCAAAAATGTTTGTTAACGGTGCAAAAATTGCAAACCTCTTTTAAAGCAGATGTTCAATAAAACATATAATCCTTGGAAAGTTTCCTGCTCTATTTTGTAGCCTCTTTTTGGAAAGTCCCTATAGACCTCAGTCAGGGTAATACCATATTTCATTTTTTGACAGGAATGAAAACGAGGCTTGAAGGGACTGAAGTACAGTATGTTTAACAGTATTTAACAACATACCGATGAAACGGCTTTCTGACAAACACTCAATTTGAATTGAGAAAATGACATAATCTCTAGGATCTTTATACAGTGCATGCCTATTCCTCACAGCCTTGTTTTCACCCATATTAAATTCAATATGGCGTCTAACCTGGCTGAAGTAGAGATGCTAGTAATGCTGTGATAGTGTCTCTGACCCGGCAGCCCACGCTGTTTCTCAAGGTCTCACAGCACCGAAGGTGCATGAGATACCATCTTCCATGCAGATGGTGAGGATGATGCTACAGTCTCTCCTTTATTAATTCTGAATGAGACTGATTCAGCAATAACAGCATTAATCTGAACAGACCTCATGTCCTGGGTCAGTCATCTGCTTCACAAGATGTACTATTTCAGCCTATTAAGAACGATAAAGACTCAACCCATCAGAGATGCACTATTATTGTAAAACTGACATGTTACTCTCTAAAACTGATGCTGCTGTGGCTTCTGACCGATGGACGTAATGCTGAATAAAGCACAGAAGAAGGTGAAGCTGGCTGGAAACTCGTGTTGTGTTTGTTCTTTGTGTGAAGATGCATGGTCAAACAAAGAGAAGGAGAACACACGCAGATGTGAGTCTGAGCACTAGATGGCAGATCTGAACCTCACCATGCCTCATCAGCTCAAACCTGTCTTTAGTTCTGTTTTAAAACTCTTTTCCATCCCGAGTTGATTATAATTGATAGACTGACACTGTGTCTTTATCCAACATTGCTCTGTGTTTGAGTTGCCCAAGATGAACAACAATGATAAGCCCTTGAGCCTAAGCATTACATTTAGTCCCCCCATGCATTTCTCTATTCATGTGTCTTGTTGAGGAGAGCTGTGCTGTGGAAAGCAGCACGTCAAATGAGTATTATGTCCGAATATGCAGTATTCATGAAACAGTATGTGACATAAACCCATATGAGCTACTGATTCTGCTGAGAGTCTGAAGTGTGCATCTGGTGGATATTACACTGCAGTAGAGTTGTTGTCACACCTGTCACGTTTGTAAATGTGTCACTACTGATGTTACAGGTCACATGACGTTTCCAATGGATTTAGGATGTCAGTATGGAAATCTGTTTCCACCATGTGTTTAAAAAATGTAATTGTGACTCTTTATCTCACTTTTTCTCTTAATTCTGAGAAGAAAACAAAAAGATATAAACTCTGAATTCTGCTTTACAAACCACAATTCAGTTTTTTTGCCATGTGATAAAAAATAAAAAGTTAATTGTGAGTTTATATCTCGCAATTCTGACTTTTTTCCTCACAATTCTGATTTTTTTTTTTTTTTTGTATACAGAATTGTGAGACATTTTTATTTTTTATTCTGTGGCGGAAACAAGCTTCTGTAGGTCTGTGCTACATTTATAGTATGTAGTATGCAAACTACTCACAAGCATACTTTAAGGATCACACTTCATTAAAGTCCCCATGAAATCAAAATGAAAGTTTTTTGGGTGTTAGTATCAATATGTTCGTCTTAAGGTTATCTATAAGGCAGTGTGCTCCAAAACAGTGACAAACGTTGCATTTAGAAGATATAAGCATTCAAAGCTTGCAGTTCGTCACTTCCGCCAAAACGGCTCAATGATTTTTTTGACGTCACATCGTACTTCAGCTTCTCATCAAACTTTCTGTCCAATCAAATGCTCTCTAGAATCCGAAGCCCCGCCCCCTACACTATAAAATAGACGCTGAAGCCGCGGCTGAGATCGGCTCTGAACGGCTCTAGCCCAAGCTGTGATTTAAACAAACGCTATTGGCTATTTTAAAAAGGGGCGGGGCTGCTTGATATGTCCCGCCCTGTCTTCCAGTTTCAGTTGAAATGATGTCAACACATAGAGTAACGCCAAAGAGTATAGAAGAACTTCTATACTCATTGGTAACGCTGCGTGTTTCTAAGCATTTCAGGGGACCTTTAAAAAGTAAGCTCCTTATCAAATGCAGTACCTACACTGTTAAAAAGTTTAGTGTGAAATTACAGTATATCGCGTTACTTTCACAGTAATTTCACACTTGTCTTGTCTCTAACTGCACTCTCAGAAATTCGTTATCTTCATGCTTAAATAATGCTAAAATACAAACTTAATTTTCATCTTAAAGTCGGGCAATTATCTCATTTATTATTTCACATTCTAGCTTGTCATAATTTCGGACAATACTAGATCAGAAATTTGAATATGAATATGCAAGGTCTAAGAGCCCAAACAAATACTAATCACTAATCAACACAGACTTCAAAACAATTACAGTAGTAAACAATTACATTTCTCACAGTGGCACAGTTACTTTATAATGTGAATTCACAGTAAAACAAGAGCAGTAAATTACTGTGATGTTAGCGTCATTCTGCTGTTCACTCACAGTGATTTGTGAGAAAATGACCCAGCATGCATTGATTTCACAGCAATTGCCGGACTACAGTAATATATTGTAAAATCATACTCTTTAATCCTGTAAATTCCTGGCAATTGTTTACAATGCATTAATTAGTAACTATTTTATTTGCATCAGTAACACACCATGATTGTCTTCAAAACTCTATTTATGAGTAATAAAACATTATTTATGCTTCAAAAATAGGTATTTACTTTGAAACATGCAATATAATGAAAGCTATATGAGAAAACACAGAGTCCATGTTTGTGTTTTCTGCACAATAGTATTGTGAATGTGCCTGACAGCAGACCATTGACATACAGCTATCAAAATAAGCACGCGCTTTTTATTCACTGGACCGTATCCTCACACACGAAAACAGCTCGCAGGCGCTCATACAGAGACAGACGTGCTGAACAAATAGCTGTGATGGTAATGGAAACGTGCAGGCGTGTTCGCTTGTGTTCTGAAGAGTGTTAAGGAACTAAAGTAAATAAATAATGGTCTCCAGTGTACCTGTGCGGTCAGCATTCGGCTGAACATCATATTTCCTTCCCTTCACTCTCGGCTCGGCCTAAAAACAGCCACCAGCCTCACTTTTTCAGAGAGGAGGACGTAATTCAGTCTTGACCGTGGGGCTCATTGTTGACACACAGAAGGCAAATTACAGGCAAATGGAACAAACTTCAAACCTGCCACAAAATGCAGAGACCTTAAAGTTTCAGCTTTAGGTTTTCAGTATTGGGTCACGTTATGCATGTGTGTTAATTAACCAAATCTTCTGATGTACTGATATAGCATCAGTGCTTTTGATGAATGCTGTTGGCTTTATTGTGTACATCAGCAGAAGAATATGTCTGACTGGAAAATCTCTAAACAGGTGTGTCTGAGATCCATATATGTGACCATTTCATCTCTAATGTCAGGCAGAGATAGAGCTTGCCTTATTTTCTGATTTATCTCATTCATGTAAGAACTGTACTGAAATTCAGCCTCACAGAATATTGCTTTATTTCAAAGTTATTTTTCACATCAGCCCGACAGTTAGACATGAGATACCATAATTAATTAATGGAACCAAGATCATTAAATTAATACACATCCATAAGTATCTGTGAAAGGTAAATCACTGGGGATTAATAGATGCCCTGTGCAACCGTATCAAAATATGATTTAATCTCTGAGGGTCTGACTGAAGTTTACTAGAGTCTAATTTAAAACGTTATAGATTTCAGTTTTTTAGAGCAGCACAACCGGTTAAATTTTTCATGAACAATTTAAAGGGATAGTTCACCCAAAAATGAAAATTCTGTCATTTACTCACCCTCATGTCATTCCAAACCTGTATGAGTTGCTTTCTTATGTTGAACACAAAAGAAGATATTTTGAAGATTGCTGGTAATCAAAGGTTGCCATTGAGTATTTTTTTTTCCTACTATGGAAGTCAATGCCAACCACCAACTGTTTGATTACAGAATTTTCATTTTTGGGTGAACTATCTCTTTAAGTCTCCGCCCCGCTGCATTCTCTGAATTGAATTCTATTCTTATGTATATTAATTACTTTACATAGGTTGCCTAGCAACCTTTCTGGAGCGTCGGGTTACGTAACATTATTAATATTCATGAATCAAGCCTTTACCACAATTACGCCATCACACAGCGCTGCTCATTTAACAGCGTCTGCATTTCAGCCAATCAGAAAGACTCGGTGGGTGAGCGCGATTAATATTCATTAGCCGACTCTTTGCATTGGTCGCCTGCCGCCGCCCGGAGGCGGAGCGCTGTGGCTGATTATACACGTTGTTAAGGGAGAGTCAGTCGAGCGGCAGTTCTTCCGAAGTTACGCCGAAACTTCCATAATAATGTTGCGCTCAAGATGAGTCGCCAGCAGGACGAGCAGGGTGTCGTGTTAACCGCTTACACCAGCAACAGCGAGGCCTTGCCAGCTATCAGCTGTAAAGAGCAAACGGAGTTTCTCGGAGCGAGGTGAGGATCGCATTTATTTATTACTAAGAGCAGTGTGCACTATTTATGGCAACTGTATCCTAGGGCTGTGTCTCGAAACCTAGTGAGCTGCCTACCTAGACCGCTTGCACGGGCGTCATGTGTTCGGCTCAGAGGACTGTTGTGTTTGCTCTGCATGGGATTCATCAGATGGACAGATCTTCTCCTTTCTGGAGATGCTGTTGATCAGTTTGTTAAGTGCTAACTTAACCTAATAATGCTGTGTTCAGGCTGTTCTGGATGTAGTAGTGATGGTTGAATAGTGTTTAGCATGTGGGTGGTCAGATGTAGTTACTAGTTTGTCTTTTGAGGGAGCTTGTACTATTAGAGAGCATGTATATTGTCTTTAAACCAGATCCTGTCGCTGCCACTATGAGCTTTTTTATGTTTTAAAGGGATAGTTCACCCAAAAATGGAAATGACCCCATGATTTACTCACCCTGAAGCCATCCTAGGTGTATGTGACTTTCTTCTTTCAGACAAATCCAATTGGAGTTATATTTAAAAGCGTCCTGGCTCTTCCAAGCTTTATAATGGCAGTGAATGGGTGTTATTTTTTAAAAAGCCAAAAGACGTCAAATAAAGTGCATCCATCCATCATAAAAAGTGCCCCACACGGCTCCGGGGGGTGAATAAAGGCCTCCTGAAGCGAATCAATGTGTTTTTGTAAGAAAAATATCCATATTTAAAACTTTATAAACCGTAATTTCTAGCTTGTGCTAACTTGCGCGTTCCTTCAGGCAGATGATGTAGGCGTATTGTAAGGTCCTGTGAGAAGTGACGAACGAGGAAGTGCAGAGGAGAGAGCATAACAAAACACCGGTCACGAATTAGAAGTACAAAGCGAAGATTTGTAAAGAAAAATGTCGGTGGATTTCGATATAAGCCGAGAGGAGACTGGTTTTCCTTTGCTAGAGTATGGAAACTTTGCTTCCTTTGCTCCTGTAAACAAACGTCGGTTCTCGCGAGACTAGCATATTCTCACTGGACCTTACGCTCATAGATATGTATATGCTTACGCTACGCCTACGTCATCCGCCGGAATGGCTTTCTATTGTGAACGCGTGTAGCGTGTAACAGTTAGCGGAAGCTAAAGATTACTGTTTATACATTTTTTTAAATGGATATTTTTCTTATAAAAACGCATTGATTCGCTACTTTTTATGATGGATGGATGCGCTTTATTGGACTTCTTTTGGACTATTGAAAAATAACACCCATTCACTGCCATTATAAAGCCTGGAAGAGCCAGGACATTTTTTTAATATAACTCCGACTGGATTCGTCCGAAAGAAGAAAGTCATATACACCTAGGATGGCTTGAGGGTGAGTAAATTATGGGGTAATTTTCATTTTTGGGTGAACTACCCCTTTAAGTAGCGACTGACTGATACAGACTGATATATCGGCCAGTATTTAGCTTTATTGAGACTATAACTTGCTACATTTAAACCTACAACCCTTCAGTTATCAGTCCAGCAGATCTTTAACCATCAGACTAAAACCACCAGATTTGTGTACAACATAATATGGGTTTGTCAGCGGCTGATGCAGTACAACTGAATTACAATGTGTTATATTCATGAAATTTGTTTGGTTGAGAAAAACAAGAAGAAAGTTTCAGTTTTCCCTAATCCCTGTTCTAAACAAAGTCTGAAACTTTATATTAAGAGCACTTCCTGTGTTTAATGCCTCTTTATGATAAATCACTTGATGTATTCCTCATTAGTAAACCACTTTGGATAAAAGTGTCTGCTTAAATGCATAAATGTAAATGAAATGTTCCAAAATAAATCAAAATTCACTTGAAAACAAAACTTATCTGTCATTATGTATTTTGAGCTAACATACTCAGGATTATATGTTAAGTGCTATTAAAGGGATAGTTCACCCTAAAATGAAAATGTGATATTTATCTGCTTACCCCCAGGGCATCCAAGATGTAGGTGACTTTGTTTCTTCAGTAGAACACAAACGAAGATTTTTAACTCAAACCATTGCAGTCTGTCAGTCATATAATGGAAGTGAATGGGAATCACGGCTTTGAGAGTCAAAAAAACATACACAAACAAAACCAAATTAAACCCTGCGGCTCGTGACGATACGTTGATGTGTAAAGACACGAAACGACCGGTCTGTGCAAGAAACAAGAAACACCGCAATGTCCAACATCCGGCGCGTGACGCGTGTACGTGGTCTGGCATAGTAGACATAGATATATATAAGTAGATTCCCGCGGCCCATATGAATGGTCACTAATGAGGCATCTACGTGTATATATATATCTATGTCTACTCAACGATTTCTTCGATTTTTTTTTTGCGTAACTTGTCAGTGAACTACGGCTCTGTGTAGTAAATGCTGCTCCATCTGAAAGCACGTGATGATGATTTACTGCTGATTACAGAACCGGCTTTACTAACAAAATGCGCATGACAATCGCATTCGATTATTCGTGCAGCCATATTTTACACATCAATGTATCGTCACGAGCCGCAGGGTTTAATTTGGTTTTGTTTGTCTATGTTTTTTTTGACTCTCAAAGCCGTGATTCCCATTCACTTCCATTATATGACTGACAGACTGCAACGGTTTGAGTTAAAAATCTTCGTTTGTGTTCTACTGAAGAAACAAAGTCACCTACATTTTTGGGTGAACTATCCCTTTAAGATGCCTGCTCTACAAAACCAAAATCTAAAGCTGTGTAAAATTAATCCTGGAGTTTATTAACTTAAATTCTAACTGATATCTCAAATGTTAGGGTGTACAGTGTTCATTGACTCGAAATCAGCATGAAGTTCGTAATCTAGTACGGGATGTCACTGATGTAGCCATTTGCATCATATTTGAACAGCTTCGATGACAGATGATGTTCTTCATGTACTGGCTTCAGAAAACCCCGTATCAGCCGGTCACTAGATTTAACACAAACTATCTGAACAGACAAAGTGTCTGTGCTGCTGGTGTTGGTCGTGCAGTGCTAGCGGATGCTGACAGCGCGGTGAAACGGGATGCTGGCTGTTATTTGTGTTCTCAGACGGAGCGCAGGTGTCTTCCTCGTTCAGCAGCTGCGAGCAGAAGTCCCTCGTGGATTCTGCTGGCCGGAGTGCTTGAGGACAAGGTTCCTGAGTGTGTGTGTGTGTCTTAGTTTAAGTGTTTGTGGGTCTGCTCTGCCAACTGGCCTGCTTGCTCTAGCATCTGCGTTTTGCTGGTTGTTTGCAGACAGAGCGGTCATTCAGATTTAGCATGAAAGAACTACACAAACGCACGTTTAAACAAGACACTTCTATATTTGGATCTAACGCTGGACTTTTTGGGTGAATCCAACAAAGAAGTGTCTATGTCATAGTTCAGCTCAAAATCAAAGGAAAAATTATATTTTGCCTACCTATTTCTGTGTGGTGACATGCATTATTGCCGTCATGATAATTTCCCCACCTGACGTTTATTGCTGTAAAGCAGCCTCAGTGATATATTTAGCACATTGCTGGGCAGTTGTCAGTGAGTGTCTGTGGGTTACTCAGTGCATTAACCCAGAAATCCCTTTTATTTTCCTGTGTTACGCTGCAGAAACAGTCATGAAACGCATGCCTGTCGCGCTGCTCTCACAGACACAGCATGTGTCAAACAGGCACCTAATGATGATGCTTGCCTCCGCACGCTACATGAATATGTTTTTTGCGTTATGGCAATGAGAATTGTGTACTTAACAGTCTTGTGAAGTAGGCGTCTGTTTGTTTATGCAAAATATGATGACATTTGATATTTGTATTTTGTTTTTGGGAGTGATATATAACCCAGCTGTAACCGTGAAAGATGAATTAAATTGTTACTGTTTTAAGCCTTCATTTGATTACCACTGTTAATAAATTTGAATTGCATCATAAACCCAGAAAAATTAAAACAAACAAAACAACACAGAATTTCTGAAAAAATAAAACATTCCATATGACCCTATTATTGCAAAAAAATTATTAAAGTTCAAGTTTTATTAATTTCATTGATTAGACATTTAATTAAACCATTAAACCGAATCCAGTAAAATTAAAAGGGAAAACAGAATTTAGAAAAAAAAGAAGGAAATTGTGATTTCATAGGGCCTTAGAATTACTCTTTAAGAATGAACTTAAAGAATGAACAAAGTGGCGTAGATGAGATTGCAGTTTGTTGTATGAAGAAACGCATGGCAACAGCCTAACAGTGCAAATGGAAAGATTAGAAAAGGCGATGTGCATTATGATATTTCCCTAGACTTCATTCAGACTGTCAAACCACAAAAAGACTTATTACTGAAAAAAGGTTTAGATACACAATGTATCCTGCTGTGAGTACATTAACCATGATTCAGGAATATATTATCATATTGACAGCTAGTGGTTGAAATGGGTACTGCAGTCCAAACTCAAAATACTGGAGAGTTGTTTCTCCATCTTCCTCCTCCTCAGACTCGATGCTCGTGCGGGTTGCCAGATTGAGAGCACGCAACAGGAACGAGCACAACTGACAGTGGAAGGCGACGAGTTGATTTATCCTCGTTTTAATATCCCTCTTGTCATTGTGTTTTTTCGATGGATGCCAAGGCTTTTTTAGGTCGGGTAGAATCTGTGATCTCTGACCCGGTTTGTTTGTTCGCTTCCATGGCTGCAATGTGCTGTGTTTACCACCGACTGGCAACCCGGGGTGTCGATAAATACTAATGGGTGAACTGGCAGTGGGCGGAGTCACACAGACCAAAACATAAACAGACATTCCGACACGCAACGCACATTTCAAAGCAGAATAACTGGATGTAGCGTTAAGAAACTTATCATGTTTCTTCAATGTCTGCAATAGGGCTGTCAAAAAAAAATTAGAATTTCGAATATTTGTCGAATTTAAAATAAAAATCCACATTTTAGGTGTGCATCAGGCAGCCTTATCAGTGGTGCATGAAATGCGGCAACGATGTGTCATTGCATTTTAATGCTTTTGTTAGCCTATCC